CATGTTCGCTAAAGAAGCGATAAGGACGAAGGCCTATAATGATGAATTTTTTGACGGTCAGAAGATTGGTATAGAGAAGACGAAGGAAAAGCGGGCCGAGGAGGTCTGCCGATGCGAAAATCATGGATTCAAGCATGGGTGGACCAAGGCTCTATAGGCAGCGGGCATTGTTTTAGCGTTGCCTTTATATTAGAGTTATAATTTGCCCTTCGAGGCTTTTGAAGCCGAGAAGACTGACGACGAGGACGGTGCCGAATAATATATCAGAGTTATATATATATATATATATATTTTTAACACATGTATTGAATGAAGCAGATCAAAGATATGCATGACCTATTACAAATTTGATGCGAATTATGTATTTACGATCTATTGAATGAAGCATCTTATTTTGAATGTCTCTACATAGTTTCAATCATTGTTCGTAAATTAAGTCATGACTATCGATTACTGTTCGCGTTTGCGGCGGCCAGCTACGATGTCGACGAAGCGCTCCGATTTCGGATGTTTATTTGGCCCAACCGTGACATACACAGAAGGGGCTCCGAATTCGGAGGCTTTTATTTTGGCCAATCATGACATCCACGAAGGGCATTCTGAATCCGGAGGCTTATTCGGCCCAAACGTGTCATTCACGGATGGGACTCCGAATTTGGAGGCTTTTATTTTGGTCAATCGTGTTATCCACGAAGGGCGCTCCGAATACGGAGGCTTATTCAGCCCAAACGTGTCATACACGGCTAGAGCTTCGAATTCGAAGGCTTTTATTTTGGCCAATCGTATTATCCACAAAGGGGCGCTCCGAATTCAGAGGCTTATTCGGCCCAAACGTGTCATTCACGGATGGGGCTCTGAATTCAGAGGCTTTTATTTTGGCCAATCGTGTTATCCACAAAGGGCGCTCCGAATCTGGAGGCTTATTCGGCCCAAACGTGTCATACACAGATAGGGCTCAGAATTCGGAGGCTTTTATTTTGGCCAATCGTGTTATCCACGAAGAGCGCTCTGAATTCGGAGGCTTATTCGGTGCAAATGTGTCATTCACAGATGGGGCTGCAAATTCGGAGGTTTTTATTTTAGCCAATCGTGATATCCATGAAGGGTGTTCCGAATCCGGAGGCTTATTCGGCTCAAATGTGTCATTCACTAATGGGGCTCTGAATTCGGAGGATTTGATTTTGGCCAATCGTGATATCCACGAAGGGCGCTCCGAATCAGGAGGCTTATTCGGCCCAAACATGTCATTCACAGATGGGACTCTGAATTTGAAGGCTTTTATTTTGGCCAATCGTGTTATCCACGAAAGGCGCTCCGAATCCGGAGGCTTATTCGGCCCAAACGTGTCATTTACGAAGGGCACTCTGAAGTCGAAGGCTTTTATTTTGGCCAATCATGGTATCCACGAAAGGCGCTCCAAATGCGGAGGCTTTTATTTTACCGAACTAAATTTCACATATCGAGAAAATAAGAAGCCTTGCATTGTAAAAGTGAAAGTTATACACGGCGAACATTCAAAACAAGTTATCATGCTCCACAAGTCGGGTTAATGATAAATTTACGCAAATTCGTGGAATTCCAAGGATGTGGCAGACTTCTCCTAGACCTGTTTTTGAGCTGATATGCCCCTGTACCGGCGATTGACTCAACCTAATAGGGGCCGTCCCATTTTGGACGTAGCTTTCCGTCAGCGGGGCTCTTAGTAGCAGGAAGAACTTTCTTCAGGACCAATTCTCCGAGTATATAACGTTGCAGCTGCACGCGTTGATTATATGATTTAGCGAGCTGCTGCTGATACCGCGCCATATATGCAAGGGCACGGTCTCGGTGTTCCTCGATCAGAGTCAAATCCAATGCTAACATCATGTTATTACGGCCCAAGTTAAAGACCTTCGTTTTCAGGGTGGGTTAGCCAATCTCCAGGGGGATAATTGCCTGGGTTCCAAAGCATAGAGCGAACGGCGTTTCCCCTGTGGACTGCCTTGGTGTAGTGTGATGAGCCTACAACACACTGGGGAGCTCTTCGACCCACCCACCTTTAGCTTTCTCTAACCGTTTCTTGATGCTGTCCAAAATGGCTTTGTTGAAGGCTTCAGCTTGACCATTGCTCTGTGGATAAGCTGGGGTGGAGAAATAGGGCCGAATACCATACATGCTGCATAATTCTCGGTAGACACCACAATCAAATTGGGTGCCGTTGTCTGAAATGAGTGCTTTTGGAATGCCAAATCGTGTTATGATATTTTTCCATACAAAACGTCTAACATCAGTACCTCGAATGTGTGCTAGTGCCTCCGCTTTGACCCATTTTGTGAAGTAATCTGTCGCGACAATCAAGAATTGCTTGTTCCCTGGGGCCCGTGGCAATGGTCCGACGATATCAAGTTCCCATTGAACGAACGACCAAGGACTAGTGATAGAGCTTAACTCATCAGCAGGCAAATGAGTTAAAGGGGAAAACTTCTGGCACTGTTCACATTTCTTGACGTAACACTCGGCATCAGCTCTCATGGTTGGCCAATAGTACCCCTATGTTACAGCTCGATGGGCCAAAGAATGCCAGCTAGAATGAGTACCAGCACTACCTTCATGTATTTTAGTCAAGAGTTTCTCGACTTTGTCTAGATAAACGCATTCTAGGTATAGACCAGAAAGGAATTTTTTATAGAGCTTTCCTTGCGGATCTAAGTAATATCGCAGGGCTTTGCTTCACAGTTTATGCGCCGTTGAGAGCTGTTCGGAAGATAGGAATGCAGTGATAGGATCCATCCAACTTAGACCTAATTCTGTGATATTGATCTGAATTGACTCCGAAGGGGCAATGCTCGGCTTAGGGATGAATCCTACTTCAATTATCCATTTAATTTCTAAGTTGATGGCGGAGGCTAGGCATGCCAAGGCATCTGCATGTGTGTTCTGATCCCGGGTTATTTGATTCAACTCATGATGGTGAATTTTGCCAGCAAAGATTTCGTCGTTTTCATGTAGGCTGTTATACGGTCATTTTTGGCTGCGTATTCTCCCTTCAATTAGTTGATGACTAGTTTTGACTCGTAGAAGATAAGCAGACCTCGAGCACCAAGGAGAAGTGCATTTTGTAAGCCGGTTAACAATGCTTCGTATTCGGCCTCATTGTTCGATGCTTCGAAACCCAGTTTGACAGCCTGTTCGATTATTGCCCCGTCGGGAGCCATGATCACTACGCCCGCCCCACTGCCACGTTTGTTGGATAACCCGTCACAATACAACTGCCAAAAGTCCCCAACATAAATTCTCCAGTTCGGCTTAGGTTGAATTTGATTAAACTTAAAGTCGGCAAGACACCCAGGGAATTCGGCCACAAAGTCGGCGAGCACTTGCCCCTTGATTGAGGTTTTGGCTAGAATTTGGATATCGTACTGGCCGAGTTTGAGAGCCCATTTTGAAACGTGCCCCGATACTTCCACGTTACGGAGCATTGACTGGAGGGGGTAATCCGTTAGTACCCCAATGGTATGCCCCTGAAAGTAATGCATCAGTTTTCTTGCTGCCATGACGAGAGCAATGACAAGTTTTTCCAATGGAAGGTAACGTGTTTCAGCGTCAACCATTACTTTGCTCACATAATAAACTGGCCGCTGCTCCCTGGTTCTTCCTTTAACAGTACGACGCTGACCGCTCGGTCAGAAACTGCCAGATATAAAATGAGCGAATCACCTGCCAAAGGTGTTGTCAATAGTGGAACTGATCAGAGGTAAGTCTTCAAACGTCCAAAGCGGCTTCGCACTCGGGAGTCCATTCAAAAGCTTTACCCTGCCGAAGGATATGAAAGAATTGTCGGCAGCGATCTGTGGAACGACTAATGAACCTGTTGAGTGCGGCGGCCATTCCCATCAACTTCTGAACCTCTTTGACTGATCGAGGAGAACCAAGTTCTCAAATTGCTGTGATTTGCCTCGGGTTGGCTTCGATTCTGCGATGGTTAACAATGTAGCCAAAGAATTTTCCAGATCCAATGCCAAATGCACATTTGGAAGTGTTTAGCTTCATTTTGTATTTGCGACGAACGCCGAATGTCTCTTCCAGATCAGCTATATGAGTTTACTCTTCTTTGGACTTGACCACTATATCATTGATGTATACTTCCATAGTACGGCCAAGTTACTCCTTGAACATGGCAGCCACTAGGCTTTGGTAGGTTGCCTCCACATTCTTCAGCTCGAAAGGCATAACCTTATAGCAATAGGTTCCTCTTGGGGTGAGGAATGCAGTTTTTCCTTGGTCCTCTGGATGCATGGAAATTTGATAGTAGCCTCTGTAGGCATCCAAGAAGCTCATACATTGATGATGTGTCGTTGCATCTACGAGTTGATCTATTCTAGGGAGGGGAAAGCAATCCTTGGGACAAGCTTTGTTTAAGTTCGTGAAATCCACACAACATGCTAAGTTCTATTTTTCTTCTTTACAACTACAGTATTCGACAACCATGTAGAATAGGTCACTACGCGGATTGCTCCGGCATCAAGTAACCGATCAACTTCTTCAACAACGGCAGAAGTATGTTCCGCGGCTGACTGTCAGTTTTTCTGAATAATTGGCTTACATTTGGGATCAACGTTTAAGCGGTGCTGGGACACAGATGGATCTACCCCCGACATCTTATATGGTGACCATGCAAATACATCAAGGTTATCGAGTAAGAAGGATATTAGCTCTTGTCTGTCGACTTTATTCAAGGAAGCGCTGACCATGAAGAACTTGTCAAGATTACCGTCAATTTCAACCCGATCCCGAGCTCCAGTTGCCTTTTCACTTGGGAGCCACCCAACGTCGTCGAGGCTCTCCCGATTTGGCACCTCAATTGAGTTCACTTCCAGCTCTCTTGGTGTCTTTGCAGCAAGAAGATAACATGCTTGCGCCGATTTTTGGGAACTTCGAATTTGCTCTATGCCGCGTTCAGTCAGAAAGCGAAGTAGTTGATGATAAGTGCTTAGCACAACCTGCATGGTATGCAACCAAGTTCATCCCATGATGAGATTATACGGCGAATGAAGCTTGATAACCAAAAATTCTACATCCACTGATCGGGAGCCCACCCGAACTGGTAGTGTGATTTTGCCCAAAGGATATTCCAGATTAGCGTTGAAGCCGAATAACGGGTAATCAGCGGGAGACAGATCTGACTTAGTGAAGCCGAGTTTAATGACGGTCTTGTAGTACATTACTTCCGAAGTACTTCCCTGGTCAATGAGAACATGTTCAATGGTGAATTGGTTTATGCGTAATTCAATGACTAAGGGATCAATGTGGGGGAGCATTATGCCGACCAAATCAGAATCATCGAAACTACTACTCGCTGCTTCATGGGACTGTTTCGTTGGTGTGATTTGCTTTTGGGGGTTAGATTGCAGCTGAATTGTATGTACCGCGGGTGCCATCGGCAAGCTGTATATCATATGAATTACGCCGAGTAGAGGTGAATCCTGCCGTAAAGCTGCTGTTTTTGTTGAATTGTTCTTTCGGATGTGTTGCATAAGCCGACCGTCTTGTACCAACTCCTCAAGGTGGTCCTTCAACACATAACAACTGTCGGTATCATGACTGTGGTCTTTGTGATATTCACACCACCTATCTCGTCTCCTCGTGTCAGGAGGTCCTACCATCTTTGGTGGCCATTTAAAGAACGGAAGGTGTTGAACTTTAGACATAACCGTACTGATCGGCTTTGATAACTCTGTATATTTCTTGTCCGTGCGCCTTATGCGCCTGCTATCCACTTAAAGTTGTTCATTAGCTCGATGTGAACATTGGTCATTTGATCGACGCAAATCTCGTCTTTTGTCTCGTTTAGCACGATTCCGTGGTTCAAGGCTCCGTGGTGGTACAGAGTTTATCGGCTGAACGATTTCAAGCGGGGCCGTCTTGTTAGGCTTGTGCCCGGCTTTGACCCGCAAGGCATCATCTTCCACTTTGCAATATTTCTCGAGTTTCTTCATTAATGACCAGACTATTTTGGGGGGCCGTCTGGTCAAGGAGCTGCGGAGGGCATTATCAGGATGCAATCCCATTTTAAAGGCGGTGATGGCCATTGAGTCATTGCAGGCATCATTTAGCCCAATTCCGTGGTTCAAGGCTCCATGGTGGTACAGAGTTTCTCGGCTGAACGATTTCAAGCGGGGCCGTCTTGTTAGGCTTGTGCCCGGCTTTGACCCGCAAGGCATCATCTTCCACTTTGCAATATTTCTCGAGTTTCTTCATTAATGACCAGACTGTTTTGGGGGGCCGTCTGGTCAAGGAGCTGCGGAGGGCATTATCAGGATGCAATCCCATCTTAAAGGCGGTGATGGCCATTGAGTCATTGTAGGCATCATCTACTAGATTAAAGCATTTCCAATAGTACGCCGAATATGCACGAAGGGTTTCTCCTGGTTGAATTTGCATTGTCCAGAGAGAATCAGCTTGCTTCGGCTGGACCTCATTGGTGGTGAACCTTGCCCTGAAGGATTTTTGGAGTTGGTGGAAGCTCTTAATCAATGTTGGTTCCAATTTATAATACCATCTGACGGCCAGTGGTCCCAAACTGCTCGGAAATATTCGACACATGAGGGCCTTGTAATCTGTATGAAGCGTCATGGCTTGTTTATAATGACGAATGTGATCAGTGGGGTCCAATTTTCCATCATATAGGGTGAATGATGGAGCTTTGAACTTTTGGGGTAGCACTGCCCTTGCGATCTATCGCACAAAGGGGTCATGTTGATCCTCTTTGTCTGAATCATTTCTTCGTTTATACCTCGTACGTGGATTTCCTTCGAAAGAACTGGGGACTTCGACTCGTCCCCTCTTTTTGGATTCTGGGGATGATGAGTTAGAATCACTGCCACTATCATGTCTCCAAATTCAAGGTCTTCAACCATCTTTTTCCAAAGATCGTCCCCGATTTTGGCACGCAGGCTATTGGGATTTTGCCATCTCCAGGGCCAAATCTTGTCGAAAGCACTCGTTCTCAGCCATTATGTTTTCCAACCTCTATTCATTTTGCTTCGCCTGATCCATAATCGCTTGCATTGTCTCATGTACTGATGTCGAGGGTGATGTCTGGGCAACTGAGTCAAAGTTTAAGGGCCTTCGTACGGCAATGTTCTCTAGCCCAAGCATGTTTCTTGGAGTGGTATCATCTTGTGGCGTAAGGTCGTCAGTGACTACCGGAGGATCTTCTGTCACACGCGCTATGGATGTGCTTGAGTATTCCCACAAACGGCGCTAATTGTGGTGATGGGGTTTGAAAATACTTTAGGGATCCTATAGGACGCTCTTGATCCTCAGTTAGTCACCTAAAAAGGAATGAACACTCCGGTCGGGGGTGTCGGAATTAGCACTCCGACGGATAAGTCAGTGTATACTCTCTTGGATGCTTGTATCTCAAGTTAATCTTATTTGTTCTCACATACCTTTTCTTAGCTGATGCTCCACTTAATTATAGTCGTCCTTGATATTGATGGTTGGGCCCACCTTTCGACCAACAAATAATTGCTTACTCGGCTATTCTGTCCTACCTATTTGTACTCGGACCAGTTTACAGCTGATTCTACGGCCGATCTGGTTATTCGGCCTTTGTGTCCCTCCAAGATAGAGCCGTATAGAACATAACTTGATTTCTTTGTTTAAACAAAATCGGCTTCCCTACGTAATTATATTATTCGGCTCCCACACCAAACATAACTGATGTCATTTGTTTATGCTGTAAAACTAACGCAAGATTCTATAAATTGGATCCCTTTCTCATTTCCCACCTTATCAAAACTTCCCTCATCATCAATTTTCCCAAACATAAATGAAAAGTTCGTCATTACATCAAATTTCTCTAGCAGCCCTTTTCACTCTCCTCCATTGCACAACCATCATGAACTCATGCTTGGCCAATAACACAAATAACAATACTGAGTACATCACAAAGTCATGTGCCACCATGTTGTACCCTCAATTGTGCTACAAGTCCCTATCAAAATATGCAAACAAAATCCAATCAAGCCCCAAAATCCTGGCCATCACCGCCCTCTCCGTGTCTCTCTTTGCTGCACAATCCACCTCAAAATTGATGTCAAACCTGTCAAAAACTCTGAATTTGCGCTCCGGTGAGGCAGCCACCCTGGCCGATTGCGTCAAAGTAATGGGTGACTCAGTGGACGAGCTACAAAGATCTGTGGACGAGTTGACTCATAGTAGAGGCGACTTTGATTTTGAATTTAAAATGAGTAATGCCAAGACTTGGGTGAGCGTGGTGTTGACTAATGATGACACATGTATGGATGGGTTTGGTGGGATGGCAATGAATGGGCAAGTGAAGAGTATAGTGAGGAGGTTTGTTAAGAAATTGGCACATTTGACTAGCAGTGGGTTAGCTTTGGTTAACAATTATGCTAGCTCTCAAGACCACCACACTTTGAAAGGTGATGCCCATCTCTGGGGCTGAATTTTGATTTGTCTCTGCTATTAGAAGTGTTTTTTCTATTTCTGTTTTTTATTTTTTATTTTTATTTTTATTTTTATTTTTATGGTGTGAAATTTGGGAGGTGGGAAAGAATTGTCATTTTTGATCAGATGGTCTGGATGAACACAATAATCTACCAGCTTCATCTCTCTTCATGTATCCTAATAAAAGAAATTTATGATATATATTTAAGTTTGATATGAAATGAATTACATTCAAAATGAATGTAATCCAACATTTTATTTTCCACAATTATTCGAGTAAACTTTTTTGAAGTCGGCAACAATATATATATATATATATATATATTGAAACAGCCAAACACTACAACAAAATGCACTTTTGGCGACCAAAATTGGTGACTAAAAAAAATTTAGTCGCCAAAAGTTGTGGAATTGGCGACTAAAATTTTTTTTAGTCAGCAAAAGTACAATATTTAGCTACTAATTTTTTTTAGTTGGGGTATATTGATTATTGGTGACTAAAGAAAATTTCGTCGCTAAAAATACTTGAATTGGCGACAAAAAAAATATTTTAGTCGCCGTATATTGAGTTTTGACTACTAAAACCATTTAATCGCCAAATAGAAAATAAAAAATAAAAAATTATTTTTTATCTTTGACGACCAAACGTTTGGTCGCCAAAAACATATTTTCAGCGACAAAAAAATATTTTAGTCGCCATATATTAAGTTTTTGTGACTAAACATTTAGTCGCCGAATGAAAAGTAAATTTTTTTTTTTTTTTTTTAAATCTTTGGTAACCTATCCTCAGCGACTAAAGTTTAGTCGGCAAATGTGTTCAAAATTTTAGTGGGAAATATTTCATATTGGCGCCTAAATTTTTGCCCAAATCTATTAGTCTCACATGGTTCTTTCTCTCTCTTGCTCTCCCCCCTCTCTCTCTCTCTCTCTCTCTCATACAGAATCAATCACCACCACCCCTCATCTCAGCATCGCACACAACCACACTGTCCGTCAATCTCCAACCGTTGAACACCACCGCAGCTCACCATTGCCTCGCCTCCCATCGACATCCAGGTTATTCTCTGTCCTTTTTCGATTGAAGTTTTTGACTGATTTTGATACATGTAGATATATATATCGCAATCTTCGTTCAATTTTCTGTAGATTTCTTCGACATTGTGCTTGCTTTCTTTACCGATTGAAGTTTTTGACTGATTTCGACTCATATCGTTATGTATCTGGAGGCAATAGTCAGATGAAATACAGCCTTTTCCACTTCGATTTTGGGATATATTTTGAAGTTCTGTTAAATGCTAGTCCGACTCTGCCTTGTTTATTTTCTTGGCCCTAATGTGCTTTGTCCTTACCTATTTTCGAAGCACATTTTTAGATAATTGACTGGCTTTTATTTTATTATTTTCATTTTCGTTTATCTATTTATTCTTTTGACTTCAGAAATCCCAAAAAACAAAGCTATGTTGTTTCTAATGACAGCTTTTGCTGTTCTTCCAACGATCTCATTCAAGTAAGTAGTTCTTCATATTCTTTTTGCCAAAAATTTACATGTTCATCTTCTTAACTGTTCCTGTGTGATGATCAGATTGACCTTGTTTTACATGGTGTTCTGTTCTTGTGCAGTGTGTACAATGTTTATAAGGGTGTTCAAGCAAGGAAAGGAAGCATGCTAGTAGGCTTTGGCAATGGTAAACCTGTTACTACTGAATGCTTTATCTGTTTTTTTTATTATTTATTTTTCAAGTTGCTTAATGGATGTCATCACTGTTTCTTGTCAACTTTACCCATTTTCTGTGCTCTTGGTGGGAGTTGTGGTGTGGTATGTAACTATCTTGGCTGTTTGTTTTTCACATGCTTAGCTTGAGGATCTTATTTGACCATATTTCTTTCATTCTCCTTCTTATGTCTTGTGTAGGGATTAGTTGTCTCCATATGATATAACTGGGAACTATCCACATTTGGTTATAGTGGGAACTGGACTCACATTTGGGTTTGTTTTGGTGAGATATCTGTCTTAATCCAATCCTTAAAGCTTGATATCTTTTGTCAATTTTAAACATTTTGATCTCTATTGCTCTATATCTAATTCATGGAAATTATAGTTGATTCACACAAGGGAAGGTTACATGAGTAGTCAATCAACATTTTTATTCACACAAAAGTGGATTTCTTTTGATTCTAACCTCTATTTTTATACTTGGCATCTTGAGCTTTTTGCTATTCATACGAAATCTTAGATGTTTGTTTAAAGGTGAAGGAAATGAAGTACAATAAAATTAAATTGAACAAATACAATTGGGTTGGTTTTATTATTTGGGACACTTTTTGCAGAAAGAAAACCCAAGAATTTGTAACTAAAGTGCATTGCACCACAATATTTGGGACACTTTTTGCTTCTGATAATAATGTTTTCTAGTGTGCCTCTGTCTACTTATTTTTCATTGTCTTCCTGCTGCTTTGGCCATCCAAATGGATGAAGTTTAAATTTCTGTACAAAAGATACTACATATAAGCATTTAAAAAAACCAAAGAAAAAAAAATACTTCAATGATTGCTAAAACTTTTGCTAGCAATTATATTTTCTTCTAACCTTGTCCTGCTATTTGTTTATTGTGTTTGATTTGTTACGTTTCATGTTTTCCCAGTGTGCCCTTGTGCAGATTTATATAAATTCGAGTATGCAAAACTAATGATTTATTTGAAAATATTAATTACATTCGAGTTTTATATGTTTTTTTTATTTATAATTTTAAATATGCCAATATTTAGTTAATACTAATGATTAATTTTATTTTTACAGATGGTTTTTGACGTAGATGGTTTGGAGGACTAAATGTATATGCAAGAGCTGTGATCCATGTACCATATCCTACACTTGCAGCGGATTTTACTTTACTTATTGGTGATTGGTACAAGACCAAACATAAGGTGAGGAAATCTATATTTAAATATATATATCTGAAATTTTTTGAAAATAATGGCATTGGCAGTGTGCATTTGTTAAATAATTAGGAATACATTATTTTAGATAATGTTTGTGTTCTAAAACCAATTCAACAATTTTTTTTAAAGATAATGAAAATATTATCCCAGAAGTCTGTCTCCTTTTCTAATACTAGTGAGTCAATTTTACTTTGAAACGTGACTAGAAGAACGGTGCTTGCTTATCGGGGCCAATTTTCATGTATTTTAGGAGAGTAAGAATCTCAGATACCAAATATCAACTTTTAATTTTTCTTTTTTTTTTATTTTTCTTTTATTTTACTTTTTTGTTCTTTTATTTTTGTATGTGTAAGTATAACTCTGTAGGAACCATCCCAATGATGAACTTTTCTAGTTCTTGTTTTATTCACATATGCATCTTTCTTGATATTCGGATTGTTTTTATACAAGTTAATGGCGCATGTTTTGGTAAATTTGTCTGATAGATGCTAGATCGTTCGCATAAGCTTCTGATTATAAAAAAGTTTTAAACTATTTCATTTTAAATTGCTAAAATCAATTAAATGGTAGGCCTATTTTACATATATAGTATGTATTTTTATTACTAAGACACTGCGTAAAGATAGCATAGTGTTATTGCTGGGGCCTCTGTTTATTGAAAATTGAGTAAATATGACCCTATTCCAATTATTGAATGAAATTGCATATTTTTTCAAATGAAATTCCATAATTCTGGGTTTGTCTTACACTTAAAAGCTATCAAGTTGCTTTATTCTTTGCGCGCGCGCACACACACACACACACATATATATCTCCTTGATATATACAACCCATTATGCCTATGGGCAGGTACGAAGGACAACGTGATATGCTTTACAATCAGACATTCAATCTAGACCAAGTTGCATTTTCTGCTGAGGGAATTAAGGATGCTCAGCAAACAGTATGTTCCACATAGCTCCTTGATGTGTTTTTATTTTATTTTTTTAGATAATTACTATTGGGGTCTCTTTGAACTCATCTATGATGTTTTGGGCTTTTTCAATCAAGAAATATTAGGCAATGGGCTATAAGGATAGATGTGCAGTTAGTGGAACATTCTACATTATAGTTCTTAAAATGATGCACATGGGCAGGCTTATCTATAAATAAGCTAAAATTTACATGCACATCAATGTTACCTGATTTAATGCAATTTAAATTCAGGCTTGTGAGTATTGAAAACCCAGGGCTTAGTGTCCCATGAAACTTACCCATAACACGTTACATAGCTTTTACAAATGAAATGTTTAATATATGTGCCCTTTTGACACCCAAATTAGCCTGATCTAATTGATCTTAATCACCTATCTTTTTAAGAAAAGTGCTAAAATATCAAGTAGTGTATATGTACACTATAGAGCATGCTCTTTTTTTTCTTTTCTTTTTTAAATCTTCATGGGGCTTCCTCACCTATTTGATTTTTGAAGCTGTTGAAAAATTGGAATTATCTTTTTCATGTTGTGATCGAAATATGATATGATTGTTTGTTAGTAGCACTAATAGAAGATGGAACTTAGATATGAATACAACATTATATAATTTGGCTAGTTGGTGAATAAATGTTTCCATGAAACTGAATTCACCAAACTTGTATCAAACCAAGGAAGTGGTTTGGTTTGGTTTATTTGATGAAAAAAAAGAGTAAGGATTGGAGTGATCCATACCAGATCAAGTTTTTAACCAAATTTTCACTCAAATTTAATGAATAAAAAAGAGAGTAAGGATTGGATTTCTACCCACATAAAGAAACCTAATAATGCGTGTTAATTGTTTTTGAAGGTGTGAAGGAGTTTGAGGCAAGATGGATTGGGTGGGCTGGTGTTAATGTGCCAAATGAGGCCGGACAGAGGGCACTTACTAAAGCTTTGGCTGAAAAGGTTCTGAGTTTCAGCTACAATCTTTTCACCCTTGTTTACTCTTGGGACATTGATAGTTGATATTTTATTTTGAATCATGAAGAATTCTTGTGAGCATCATTAAATTCCTGTTTTTGTTTATTTATTTATTCACTGCAGAGATGTATTCATGTATTCCTTGATGAAGAAATTGTTCACCAATGTTATAATGGCTATTTCAACAACATATTATGGCCTCTTTTTCATTATCTTGGACTTCTGCAAGAAGATCGTCTCGTTACTACCAGAAGTTTTCAGTCTCAGTTTGTTGCATATGTGAAAGCAAATGTAATGTTTGCTGCTGTGGTAAACCAGCATTACCAGGAGGGTCATGTTGTTTGGTGCCATGACTACCACCTCAAGTTCCTTCCAAAATGCCTGAAGGAGCACAACAGTGATATGAAAGTTGGTTGGTTTCTCTACACACCCTTTCCTTCTTCAAAAATCCACAAGACACTGCCATCTCAATCAAAGCTGCTGCATGCTGTTCTTGCTTCTGACTTGGTTGGGTAAGTTGTAATATTTAATCTCGTGCCATGCGATGTTTGCCTCACTTAACAGGTCAATTCCTTTAAACTTGCAATATTGATACTGATCAATTCGCATGTTTTTCAAACTTTTAAACTTGAAACCTATGTACTACTCAATCATATGATCACATTTCTTGTTTAAACTGTCAATCACATTTCTTGTTTAAGTTGTTCTATTTTGTTACAACATATGGACTTTGTTACCAAATTCAGCTATAGATATAGTTAGTTCCTTGATAAGTTTCTGCAATATACAAATGATGTAGAATTTGTGTGTAGTTATCTATTTGTATAATTAAATTTGCATTGTATGTCTCTTAGGTATAATGACACATTAATTTCAATACTTTATCTGAGATTATTTTGATCGATTTCTGTTTTAAGAAATAAAACATTTTTTTTCCATCTATATTTATTCACCCACGATTCTGTTACATAAGTTACTATATTTGCTACTTCTTTTGTGTTTGTGGTCAATAATTGCCTCTGCCTAGTTGTTTCTTGCCTGTATTTTTTAATAATGATAGGTAGCATGTCCAGTGAATGTGTAAAATATGTTGTCTATCATTGTTTGTTTTTGTCTTGATGATGGCCAAGATATTTTTAACTTCTATACTTGGCTAGAGTGTGATTGGAAGTAGATGTGGAGGCATATTATGATAGTGACATTAGTTCATTGAATTTGAGCATCATGCTTAATCCAAATCCTTATCTCCAATAGGCTCTCCAAGAACCTATTACATTAGAATCAGACATTAGCACAGTTAACCCTTTGTTTTCTTTTATTAAAATAAAGGGCTTCACAATGAGTTAATAATTTTATTAACGACTTCACAATGACTAACAAACATCAGCTTTATTGGCGTGGTAACCTATTCTTGAGCTACCTCAGGATGTGTTTGGACAATTTAAGAAAAATATTAAAAAGAACAAGAAAATAAAAGAAAACAGAGAAGGCATTGTACTTGAGTTCTTATATTAAAATAAAGGAACTATTAATAATCTCGAGCTTAAGAAGAACTCGAGTTATATAATGTAGGTGGGTATTATTAATAATAAGAAAAAGGGCGTTTTGGGGGCAAAATTTCTAAACAGCCCCCGAACCACCGTGTGACTCACACGGACAGTTCCCTCATGACAAATAGGACTTGTGACAACTGACGGAATGTAGTCTGAGCCCGTAGGTTAGGAGTTAGAGCCGAATACGCCCTAAACTTAGTCGAAAAAGGACATTTCGAGGGAAAAAATTCAAAACAACCCCCTGTAGACCGCCCGAAACTCTCTCCGCGTGCCCCCATTCAGAGAGGGCGCGAATTGAGTTCTAGCTACTACAATTCGGACTCCTGTCACGGTTTTAAATCTAATCTCACAAAGTGCAATGTAAGACTGATAAATCACCAAAGAGTCCAAATCCAGCAAATCATTTTGGAAAATCGATTTTAATAAAAAAGTGCCAAACATGGACTGCTCTGCCAGATTTCAGAGTCACCACTTAAATATTTTATTTTGGAAAATTTAGAAAACCCTGACTCATGCCTAAGGCCACGTGTCCGTCATCACCAAAGTTGTCTCGGTTCGGGAACTTGGGTACAAGGGGGGAAGGTCATGAAATAAGCACCCCCGCTTGCCCGATCAAAGGATCGGCCTCTACTAAACATGATATGTTATTTTTGAAAACACATGTGTTCTTGTTTGATTATTTGCTAACCTTACTATGTGATGCGCACAACATACAAGTATAGACTCAATCACGCAGATTGGAACAAAACAACTCATGTTTGTTTTTTAAAGTGGTTTGAAAGTGTTACTCGCAAGTAGACTAAAGCGCAGATTTGCCACCCTCAAGTGGGCTTAGAAAAACATTATTTTGCCACTCCGCAAAGTGGGCTTAAAACTCACAATCATCGAGTTGTTCCAATTCAGGCAATCAAGCCTCCACCCACAGTCATTCATGCATTTAAACACTTAAGCAAATAGCCTCATGGCAAGCATACTAAACATGGCAACACTCACACTCATGCAAGTATGCTAAAGCGTAAACACTTACAGTGTACTCCAAGCCAAAACAGAAAACTAGTTAGAAATCAATGCATGATCCTAACTATGTTAAGCAAAGCCTAATGCAACACATGCAAGATGCAATAAGATAGGCTCGGCTACCTAAGATGGCATATGAATGCAACAATTGATACATGTATTCAAATAGGAATTAAAATACGATGCAGTTTGAATGATGCGCCGAGCCTGGTGCATGCAAGACAAATGAATGATGCACGCATGCAAAGCATAAGGTATGCTAATTGAAATATGCCTTAAACTAACCATCAAAAGCTGATAAGTAAAAGGGAGAAAGAAATGGGGTTGGAAGACATGCACACACACACGCACACTTATTACAACAATATGCCCTCTCGCAGGAGGGTCTGAATGAATTAGCTAAGCTAATCTAAGCCAAGCTAACCAACTAATTTAATCAAGCTAACTAGATTAATTATTACAAACCAATCAAATAACTAGTAAACTACTTACTAATTATTACATCACTTAACTAACTAACTAACAAATCAATTAATTAATTACAAATTCAAAGCTAACTAACAAGTAAAACTTTAAACTATGCTGTCACAACAAGTTGAAGAAGTTGAACATGCATGCCTCGGTTTCCGCCCCGAAAAGCTCTCTGGTTTGCTCTCTTGAGGCTCTGTCTATAGGGTGTCCTTAAGAACTTGCTGCTAAAACTTATCAAACCATAGCTGGGGAGTGCACCAGTGGCCTGCCGGCCATAAAAGGTGGCTGCCGGCCATCTGCCGCGAAGAGTGGGCCTCTACCGACCAATGACAGAAGGGTGCCAGCCATCAATATGGCACTGTCGGCCACTGGTGAGCTGTGACACCAAACTGCAATAGAGCACAAAATAGAGGAAATGAAGGGTCTCCCTAGGAACATGTGTGTACTATGCCACCCCATATCACCTCAAAACATTAAGGGAGAGGCACCATTGGATCCAAGACCATCAATCAAGCATACAATGCATGATGGCCAAAGATCCAATCTTGTACACAGTCAATAAATGCAATGCAAACAAGACTCTAAGACCGCGACCTTATCATTAGAGATCAAAGGTAATGGAGACAAAGGGGATTGGCTTACTTTCATCACTTTGAGTATGATGCGGGCCAATCCACCTTGTGTTCAACATAACGTCCGGTTGAACACGATGCAATGCAAACAACATGCTAATCTTGGCATGAAATGCGAGACTCTAACATGCAAACAATGCATGCACAACATGCTAAAAGACTTAAGCATTAAGGCTAGTGAAAGATACAACATTAGAACCATGTAATACAATGCTCAATGGACTCAACCAGCCCCAAACAGATCTCATGCATGCCAAAACAGTGGCCAAGATGATCTGAAATGAGAGCATGAAAGGCAAGAGAATGCATACTCATGCATTGGCTCACAAACAAAGCATAAGGTACAACTCTCAAGAGCAATGAAGAAGTGAAGTATATGAGAGTATGACTACAAACATCACATGCACATGTTAAAGGCCTCAAAACTCAAAGTTAGTCAAGGCCCTTTACACTACAACCATATTAAGCAATGCTCAAATGACCTTAACCATTCAAAACAGACCTAAGGCAGGTCAAAGTGGTAGCAAAAACATGCTAGACTCGCAGCATAGATGGCAAGAAAAATATGCTCATTTGATGGCTCACAAACAAGGCATAAGGGCACAACTCTTAAATACAATGAAAGAGTGATAAACATGAGAGTATGACAGAAGTTTATGCTCTGAAATTACATATCAAATGATGCCATATCACACAAACATCACAAATATAGCATGCTAAGGGCCTCAAAACTCAAGACTAGTGAAGCCAACTATGCCATAGCTATACAAGGCAAGCCATACATGACCAAGACCACTTGGAATAGAGTTTAAGCATGCTAAAACAATGCCAAAAACATGCGGGAGTGGAGCCGAAATAAGCTAGAATGAGAGGCATATAGCTTGATGCATGTTAAGCCAACAAGTAGGATTGCACTACAAGTGTAAGATGCAAGAAACCAATGACCAAACCAACCAAAAATAGAGTCATGGAAAGTTCAAAAAGTCACAAAAATATGCTTGGACTAGGCTTCAAAAAGGGAGAAATACATGCTCATTTGATAGGCCAACAACACATGCTAACAAGACAAGAGGAAGGGGGACCACCCCCTCCTATTTGGGACCTCAAAACAAGTTTTCTACCACTGAAATCCCCTAGAGTTCAGTGGTTTTAAGGCCAAAAAAGAATTGTTTCAAAGGCCTCAAGAGATAACACAATGCATAGCAAACAAGCCACAAAAGAGGGGGGGAATACCCCTAACCCCAACAAGGCCTTAAACCATTATTTTTGACACTTAAAAGTAGAGGTTTTTACAATTGAAACTTAAGCCAAAAATAGCATGCAAAGGTGGCCAAATACTTACGCAAAACAAAGCTTAAAGAGGGTAACCACTCTTACCCTTGAAGAACAATGGCAAGACAACAACTTCAGCAACAATTTTAGACCAAAACCAATGTTACGACCTCAAAACAAGCTCCAAGGGACCTCAGCTCCAAAATGAAGGTGTTTGACTAGGTGTTTGTGTGAAAAAGTATGAAGAAAACTCACATAAAGGCTCAATATAGCACAATATAGAGAGAGAGTGAGAATTCTAGAGAGGGGGGGGGGAGATTTTTTTGCTCTCAAAAATCTGAACCCTCAATAAGGGGGAGGGACCTCTCCTTATATAGAATAAGCAAGCAAAAACTTCCTTGATAATCTAGAAGCTTGGTTGAATCCATCCATACACGCGTATGGAGGATACACCCAGTGTGCAACAGCTGGCTTAAAAATATCTGCAAAATCTCTGTTGAAACAAATGGTGGCCGACCGGTCATTAGTGGTGGCTGGCAGTGCCTCATTGAAGGCCGGCAGGGCCTATCTG